CCCATCGTGGCGACGCTCGACCTGCACGCCAACGCCACCGAGCGCGATGGCGCGCAACGCCAACGCGCTGGTGAGCTATCGCACCTATCCGCATGTCGACGGCTACGAGCGCGCGATGCAGGCCGCGCAATTGGTCGAGGACGCCTTGAGGGGCCGGAAGTATCCGCGCTGCCTGCTGGTGCAGCCGGCGATGCTGAAGGGCGCCGATCATGGCCGCACCACGCAGCCCGGCATCATGCGCGACCTGCTGGCGCGCGCCGACGCGTTCGAGAAGCAGCCGGGCCTGAACGTGGTCTCGATCCAGGTGGGCTTCACCTGGTCCGACATCGCGTGGGCCGGCCCCTCGATCGCCGTCAGCCACGAGCCCGGCGCCGAGGACGCGGCTCGCGCGGCGGCACGATCGCTGATCGACGAGATGTGGTTGCGGCGCACCGAGTTCTCCTCCTCCTATCGCTCGATCACCGAGGCGGTCGAAGCGGCGCGGGCAGGCGGCGACAGGCCGCTGGTGCTGGCCGAGGGCACCGACAATCCAGGCGGTGGCGGCTACAATGACGCGCCCAACCTGCTGCGCGCGCTGCTCGACGCCGGTATCGCCAACGCGGCGGTCGGCACGATCTACGATCCCGGCACGGTGCGGCAGGCGCTGCAGGCCGGCGTCGGCTCGCGGATCGAGGTCGAACTGGGCGGCCATACCGATCCGTCGCTGGGCGCGCCGGTGCGGGCGACGGCGCAGGTGATGCATCTCTCCGACGGCAACTTCCGCAACGACGGTCCGATGAATGCCGGCGTGCAGGTCGCGCTGGGACCGACCGCGGTGTTGCGATTGGGCGGCGAGGGCGGCATCGACGTCGTCACCACCTCGATCCGCATGCACACGATCGACCTGCAGGTGTTCCTGAGCCAGGGCATCGATCCGCTGCGTAAGAACGTGCTGGTGGTGAAGAGCTCGCAGCATTTCCGCGCCGCCTTCGAGCCGATCGCGCGCGAGGTGATGCTGGTCGATGCCGGTGGTCTCTGTTCCACCGACGCCTCGCGCTTCACCTACGCCAAGCTGCGCCGGCCGATCTGGCCGCTCGATCCGGTCGGGGAACCGCTGTCGGGTTAGCCAGCCGCAAGATCAGGGCAGAGGCACCGGCTCGGGCAGGCTGGCGAGGATGGCGGGTGAGTTCAGCCATCGATGGGCCAGCTGCGCGGTCTTGAAGATGCGCATCGGACGGCGCGGCGCGGCGAGCATGCCCAGAACGCGCCCGAGCAGGGCATACTTGTCGTCCGGAATGACGATTGCCAGCGGCCCCAGCGCAACATCCGGCTGGTGCAGACTGCGCATGCGTACGCCAATGTCGATTATCTCCATCGGACCCATGCGGGTCTCGCCGCGCGTGCCGTCGAAGATCTTGCGGTAGCCCAGCGCCCGCGTGCCGACCAGCGCATCGAGCATGGCGTGTACCTCGTGCGCCTCGATCTCACCGTCGCAGACGACTTCGAAAAGGCGTGATCCCGATTGGATATTCCAGTGAAGCGGCATCGCGGCAACATACACTAGAACATAACATATTGCATCATCGATGAAGGCAAATGCATTTCATGTGCACCTGAGATGACGAACGCGGCCGGGCAGAGAATCGTGCACGGGTACGCTTCGGGAGATGAAGGCGAGATCCGTCGCCGGTGACGCGTTCAATCGGTGCTAGCTGGGTGTGGGTGGCAACGGCGCCCGGTGATGTCACGAAGGCCCCGGCGATCGGACCGCGTCTCGCGTGGTCTCCTCCAGAGTCCGGGACGCCAGACCGTCGCCGCGCGCGCTGTCGAGAGTGCGCGTCAGGCGCCGAAGGCGGCCCCCAGCGTGCCGATCAGGCCGGCGATCACCATCAGGTAGGCGAAGGTCGCGAAGAGGAGCTGGCGAGAGCTGTCGTCCATGATCGTATATGTCCCCGGTTGTTTCGCGAGCGAACGCCGGGCTGGTCCACGGGGTTCCGCCGCGTGCTGCCGCTATGGCGCGAAGGATGAGCGGTGTGGCCGGCGGGCCACGCGTCGTGGGTGAT